CTTGTACTATGTTGACAACTCGGCAGCAGTGACTCATTTCTTATACTGGACTGTCAGATCTACTACACCAACAGGTTTGATCTTGTGGTTGGAATAGCAGCGTAACACTATTTTGGAGCGTCTCAGTCCACCAGCGTGCATCAGTTGCTGATAACTGTCGAGTGTTAGCGTGTTCTATTTTGCACCTGTATCTATTGTGAATTGGACCTCCTGTGACAGTATAGTGACGCATGCTGACCACTTATCATCCTCTGTCGAAATGCGGAATTGCCATAACATCACCTTTTATGCTGTGCTTGACAGACTTCTGACACCATGTAAAGAACTGTGGCTTAAGAATCAGGCTGTGTTAACTTGTCACTGTGTAGCTTTATTCTGAACCCCTCACACTGCACGTAACAACAATGCACTCTATCAGGTATGGTGGCTGAGGAGGATCACACAGTGCAAAGTCACACTTCACAATAACGCTTCTAGCACTATAACAATACATTTCAGTCACAAGTGCACATTTTAACACACAATAACCACAATAATATTAGCCTACAGAGAGAGAGAGAGAGAGAGAGAGAGAGAGAATGAGAGAATGAGAATGAGAGGGGGAGAGAGATAGAGAAAGAGTCCAACAGAAATGGACCAAAGCAACACAGCCAAGGTCAGATACAAACTGAAACACAACAATAGCATCAGCATCATTGGTACCATCAGCATCATTGGTACCATCAGCATCATTGATACCATCAACATCCCATCAGCATCATTGGTATCATCAGCATCATTGGTATCATCAGCATCATTGGCACCATCAACATTCCATCAGCATCATATAAACAACTACAGCAGCAGGCCAGATCCAGTGAGCATAAAGAACTACAGCAGCAGACCAGCAGCAGACCAGAGCCAGTGAGCATAAAGAACTACAGCAGCAGACCAGCAGCAGACCAGATCCAGTGAACAAAAACAATTACAGCAGCAGACCAGCAGCAGACCAGAGCCAGTGAGCATAAAGAACTACAGCAGCAGACCGGATCCAGTGAACATAAACAACTACAGCAGCAGACCAGCAGCAGACCAGAGCCAGTGAGCATAAAGAACTACAGCAGCAGACCAGATCCAGTGAACATGAAAAACTACAGCAGAAGACCATATCAAGGGAATGTAAACAACTACAGCAGCAGACCAGCAGCAGACCAGATCCAGTGAGCATAAAGGACTACAGCAGCAGACCGGATCCAGTGAACATAAAGAACTACAGCAGCAGACCAGCAGAAGACCAGATCCAGTGAGCATAAAGAACTACAGCAGCAGACCGGATCCAGTAAACATGAACAACTACAGCAGCAGACCAGCAGCAGACCAGATCCAGTGAATATGAACAACTACAGCAGCAGACCAGCAGCAGACCAGATCCAGTGAATATGAACAACTACAGCAGCAGACCAGATCCAGTGACTATGAAAAACTACAGCAGAAGACCATATCAGGGAATATAAAGAACTACAGCAGCAGACCAGATCCAGTGAGCATAAAGGACTACAGCAGCAGACCGGATCCAGCAAGCATAAATAACTACAACAGCAGACGAGATCCAGTGAACATGAACAACTACAGCAGTAGACCAGCAGCAGACCAGATTCACTGAACATAAAGAACTACAGCAGCAGACCAGATTCACTGAACATCTGAACATAAAGAACTACAGCAGCAGACCAGCAGCAGACCAGCAGCAGACGAGATCCAGTGAACATGAACAACTACAGCAGCAGACCAGCAGCAGACCAGATTCACTGAACATAAAGAACTACAGCAGCAGACCAGATCCAATGAACATGAACAACCACAGCAGCAGCAGACCAGATCCAGGGAACATGAACAACTACAGCAGCAGACCAGATCCAGATCCAGTGAACATGAACAACTACAGCAGCAGACCAGATCCAGTGAACATGAACAACTACAGCAGCAGTCCAGATCCAGTGAACATGAACAACTACAGCAGCAGACCAGATCCAGATCCAGTAAACATGAAAAACTACAGCAGCAGACCAGCAGCAGACCAGCAGCAGACCAGATCCAGTGAATATGAACAACTACAGCAGCAGACCAGATCCGGTGAATATGAACAACTACAGCAGCAGACCAGATCCAGTGAACATAAACAACTACAGCAGCAGACCAGATCCAGTGAACATGAACAACTACAGCAGCAGACCAGCAGCAGACCAGATTCAGTGAACATAAACAACTACAGCAGCAGACCAGATCCAGGGAACATGAACAACTACAGCAGCAGACCAGATCCAGATCCAGTGAACATGAACAACTACAGCAGCAGACCAGATCCAGTGAACATAAACAACTACAGCAGCAGACCAGCAGCAGACCAGATCCAGTGAACATGAACAACTACAGCAGCAGACCAGATCCAGTGAACATGAACAACTACAGCAGCAGACCAGATCCATTGAACATGAACAACTACAGCAGCAGACCAGATCCATTGAACATGAACAACTACAGCAGCAGACCAGATCCACTGAACATGAAGAACTACAGCAGCAGACCAGATCCAGTGAACATGAACAACTACAGCAGCAGACTAGATCCAGTGAACATGAACAACTACAGCAGTAGACCAGAAAGGAAAAAGTAGAAAAACAAATACATCAAAAGTATAACAAATACTGCTTGTCACGGTAGAAACAAGTCGAATCAGGAAAACATCTGAACGGTGATCCTATCAGGAATGAGACAGAAAATGATTTGGGCATGTCATCCACCTTTATGTAGTTCCAGAACCTGTCCCAGGGAGACCCTTCCTCCACCCTACTGTCGCTGAGACTGTTTAGATTACACTTATAAGATGCTGTTCCAGTCCTTTATGTAGTCCCAGAACCTGTCCCAGGGAGACCCCGCCTCCACCCTCCTGTCACTGAGTCTGTTTAGAATACACTCATGCTGTTTCAGTCGTTACACTGACCCATTCTTTCACATGTGGGGCCTTTGATGTTTTCCAGTTTCTTCAGATAACTAGACAGGCTCTTAGTGTACCGACCATGATCACACACAACTCACACTTAGATATGTTAGGTATCTGAGATTGCTCTCCCAGTAAACACAACCCTGGATTAAGAGGAATGTCTGACTTAAACCAACTGCTTATGATCTGAATGACTGAGTCCAGAGAGGTCTGACCAATCTACACTCCCACATACAATGCAGGAAAGTTCCTGTTTCACTTTAACATTTCCAGCACAAGTTATCATTCAAGAGTTTCATTCTATAAGGTCTGGATGGTGTGTGATAATATCGATGTAATACCTTTTTACTGTGTGACCTTCCTCCGAGCCTCTCTCACATATTTACCACATTGAATCTCTTCTTCAAGGTCTTTCTGCCAAATCATTTTCACATGTACAGAATTTTTATAGGGTTAACAATCTTATAAAATTGTGAAGCATTGCATTATTCTGTTGAAAGTTTCATGAAGTTTATAACAACATTGTCTGTAACAGCTGGCACCCATTCTTGAACGAGATAAAACATTTAAACCTTTCTGTCATTATGTCTGAAGGTTAATTTTCCCCAAGATGTTGTCTGAAGGTTGTCATGGTTTTTTGAAGATAACCCATGATTTTGTCTAAAGGTTGTTTGAAGATAACCTATGATGTTGTCTAAAGGTTGTCATGGTTGTCTGAAGATAACCCATGATGTTTTTTGAAAGTTGATTTTCCCCATGATGTTGTCTGGAGGTTAATTTTGAAAGCAAACAACTGGATCTTCTTCAGCCAGTATTGTGTCTGCCTCCTTGGAGTCACTGGGTGGGGTGCTCTATAGTTCTACTTGGGTACTTCTACACCCATGTGGGCAATGATGGAGAAACCTGGAGGGTGGTTGATTGGGAAGCCTTACCACTAACCTTAGCAGAGGTCACTGAGGCAGTTAGAAAGCTCTTTGGTGGCAAGGTGCCAGATGTGGGTGAAATTTGCCCTGAAATTCTAAAGGCTCTGGACATTGTTGGGCTGTCTTTGCTGACAGTGACAGTGTTGCATAGAGGTCTGGGACAGTATCTGTGGAGTGGCAGGCCGGTTTGGTGCTTCTCATCTTTAAAAAGGGAGACTGGAGGGTGTGCTCCAATTTGGGGGGAATCACACTTCTCAGCCTCCTGGGAAAAGTCTACTCAAGGGTACTGAAAAGGAGGCTCTGACCGATTGACGAAACTCTGAAACAGGAGGAGCAATGCAGATTACCTCTTGGCTGTGGGACAGTGGACCAGCTCTTAACTCTCAACGAGCTTCTTTTTTTTGTTGCAAGCCTGGTGCAGTTTTGGTAGATGGCTATTCATCATGAGCCTGGATTTGCCCAAGATAAGGAAGTTTTTTCTTGCCACTGTAACTTTTGCTGAATGTTGCTGAAGTGCTACACACTTGATGGACTAAGCTGGGTCTTTGTAATATAGCAATTAGTAAGATCTTTTACCTGCTTTTGTAAAGTGATAACATTTGTTATGATTGACGCTATACGAATAAAGATTGATTGATTGGATATAAATTGTGGGGACACGTTTTTGGTGGATTATTATTATCGTTAAAAGACGTTAATTATTTGTCGCTGGTCTGACAGATGTGTAGATTGTAGCTGCTGTGGGGGTCTGACAGATGTGTAGATTGTAGCTTCTGTGGGTGTCTGACAGATGTGTAGAGTCTCTACACGTGTGCCTGCTGTATTGGACATGTGTAATATCTTTATAAGGTCATATTAATGCAGACTTAATGAGTGAGAAAAAGGATGGATCAAGTCCTATCATAGAATAAATTGTTATTCCAAGACTAAAAGACAAATAGTTTAATGATGTGGTTAAACTCCTATGAGAATGTGGATCAACAAGCGCAAAACAGTTGACTTCTGGTCAAACTCGTTCTAACTCTGGTAATCCTTATGGGGGACGGACATAATAATAATCATAATAACAATGATGATGATGAAAATAATAATAATAGTAATAGTTCAGAATCATGTCTTTATTTTACATAATTACAGCTCCAAAACACACCATCATTTACATGTTTGCATGAAGACTTTTATTGCACAGAAACAGTTCACTTCCTGTTCAAACACACACACACACACACACACACACACACACACACACACACACACACACACACACAGATGATGAGTGATGTCACAGGAACATCAACTTGTGTAACTTCTTCTTCATCCTTTACATCCTCCTTTCCTCTCCTCTCTCCTCTCTCCTCTCCTCTCCTCTCCTCTCCTCTCCTCTCCTCCTCTCTGCTGTTGTCCAAAGGTTCTCCAGTGGGTCAGATCTTCATGCCCAGTTTTGCTTTCTGAGAACAGAAGATCATCAAGTGAACGTTGTATTAAGAAATGCAGCCTTTTAGATCATACATTTATTTTCATGATGATAAACAGTCATGATATTTATGTTCTCCATCAGTCATTAGATGGTCAGGTAAACAACCCCGAGGTTCAGATAGATAGGTGACATCATTTAAGGTTAAAGGTGAACTCACGATGCCTGAGGCGTGTTTTGGTTTCACGCTGTACGAAGATTTCTCTTTGCCTGCCGGAAAGATTCTCCGCTGATTTTAACCTGCAAAACACAATATAGTTAATGATAAAGTCTGGGCAGGTTCTTGTTCGTCCAGGTCATGGTCAATTTAAAGCTTGATCTAAAGGTTGAAGATCTTGAAGACTTTTCACCGCTCCTCCTCCGAAAGAATTCCTCAGTTGTAAACTAGCTGGTGAATGGAGAGATAAATGTAAGCCTCTGTGGATTAGCATGCTAATGATCAAGGATGGTCACATGGGCGTTGCTGACTTAGAGTTGTTAACACCCCCGGTTGTATGTTGGTCGTTGGGGTCACATGTTCCAAGCTTGGAGGTTAATGATAATAACAATACAATCAATTCAAAATGCATAATGTTTATGTTCATGGTAATATGATATTTAATGTTTTTAATGAGATCATAATAATTAACCCCTTCATAAACAGTTATTGATGTCACTGAATAAATGTAATCAGCTGCTTTGATTGATTTTCTGCAGTTTGTCAAAATTATCAAGTTATCAGATGAACAAAGCTTCTTTATTTCAAATTTTATACACAAATATCTCTTAGGAGACTAAATGTTTCTGCAGCTGCTCATGTTTTAAACAAGTGTGACCAGGTGTGCCAACAAGATGTGCCACCTGGTATGTGACCAGATGTGCCACCAGGTGTGTGACCAGGTTTGTCACCAGGTGTGTGACCAGATGTGCCACCTGGTGTGTGACCAGGTGTGTGACCAGATGTGTGACCAGGTGTGTGACCAGGTGTGTGACCAGGTGTGTGACCTGAGAGCTCTAATTTGTGTTCGATAGATTGAGACAAAGCTCTCTCTCAGTGAGGTTTGTGGTATGTGCGCTCTGCAGTGTCGCGTTTGGTTGAGGAAACAGAGTGCATCAACTCGTATGAAATCTTTAAATCTCGTTGACACTGACTTCATGAATATGTTAAAGATATGTGAGTTTAAGCGTTTGTTTTTCACCTCTCTTTGAGAATCACTTTGTTTTCTTTCTTCCACTGATCTTTGAAGTCGGAGGAGAATTCGTGCCAGACGCTGAACACCGTGTTCGGAGAAACTTCTTTCTCTCCGGCCTTCGGTTTCACAGAGAAGGAAACTGAGAGCTCGAGGAATCTGAGAGAACAGAGACAGGTTCAGATATCATTTCAATATAGAATCATTATTTAGTAAAAGTAAATGAAATATTCAGAGGTATAATCGTTTTAAGTGTCCTACATTTAAATTAAAATGAACTGTCACTCCTGAATGCTAGGAGATATCAAAGGCATTCTTTACTCTGACAAAGACTTCTATTCTGTGGAGTTAAACCTGCTTTAATATTAAAGGGTGAGAAGTTCATTATCTTTAAATCCAAATGTTTGGTTCTTACAGAGAGTGAGTGCTGCTGAGCTGAGCCTCCAGAGCCTCCAGCTCACTTTTAGCTAAGAAGAAGAACACAGAGTCAGAACAGAAGAAGAAATACATGAAGACACATTTATTATACTGTTTGCATAATATCTGATTTATTGTTATTATCATGTTGACGAGTCACCTTGTGCGAGGAAGTCATCCATCTTATCTTTAAAAGGCTGCAGATTCTCCTCTTCTGACACCTTACACACCTTCTCTACCTCGGATGTACACACTGAGAGGAAACACACAAACACACACACACACAGCACACAAATCATAATCAGACCATCCAAAAAAATGATCAATGTGTGTGTGTGTGTGTGTGTGTGTGTGTGTGTGTGTGTGTGTGTGTGTGTGTGTGTGTGTGTGTGTACACCTCTCAGGTCCTTCCTCAGTCTGATCACATCTTTTTGGAAATCTTCAAACTTCATCTGAGATGCCTGAAACAGATCATGAGGCTCCGGGATAGGAAACACACATGTCTCTCTACCAGCATCCTGTGGACACACACATACACACACACACAGGCACACACACACATACACACACACACACACACACACACACACACACACACACACACACACATATGAGGGGGACTGAGATGTATAGAGTCATCATTAAAGTTTTGAAGTATTAAAGTAATCTGACCTGGTCAAAGTGTCGGAGGTAATAAGACACGATGTAGGAGAGCAGACTCCTCAAGCCGTCCTGAAGAGAGACAATAAAACCAGAATCAGACACAAAAACTCATCTCAGGGGCGCCGGCACATTAGTGGTTGTGCGCACGCTCAAGGTATGAAGGCTGTCATCCTCCAAGCGGGCAGCCTGGGTTCTAATAGACCTGTGACTCCTTGCACGTTGTTCCAATCTTTATTTGTATATTCATAACAAATGTTATCTGAAGACACTTTACAAAAGAGCCGGTTAAATACCTTACTCATTGTTATATTAAAGAACAGGTTAAATACCTTACTCATTGTTATATTAAAGAACAGGTTAAAGACCTTACTCATTGTTATATTAAAGAACAGGTTAAAGACCTTACTCATTGTTATATTAAAGAACAGGTTAAATACCTTACTCATTGTTATATTAAAGAACAGGTTAAAGACCTTACTCATTGTTATATTAAAGAACAGGTTAAAGACCTTACTCATTGTTATATTAAAGAACAGGTTAAATACCTTACTCATTGTTATATTAAAGAACAGGTTAAAGACCTTACTCATTGTTATATTAAAGAACAGGTTAAATACCTTACTCATTGTTATAGTAAAGACCCAAATACAGGATCATGAACAATTATAACATATAACTATAACTAACTCAGTGTGTGTCAGAATGTGTCAGTGTGTGTCAGTGTATGTCAGTGTTTCAGTGTGTGTGTGTGTGTGTGTGTGTGTGTGTGTGTGTGTGTGTGTGTGTGTGTGTGTGTGTGTGTGTGTGTCAGTGTGTATTTGTGTGTTTCAGTGTGTGTCAGTTTGTGTCAGTGTGTGTCATTGTGTTTCAGTGTGTTTAGTGTGCTTCAGTGTGTGTGTGTGTGTGTGTGTGTGTGTGTGTGTGTGTGTGTGTGTGTGTGTGTGTGTGTGTGTGTGTGTGTGTGTGTCAGTGTGTATCAGTGTGTTTCAGTGTGTCAGTGTGTTTCAGTGTGTTTCAGTGTGTCAGTGTGTGTCTCTCACACTGCTCTTCACATCCTTTAGCTTGGGCAGTATATCGAGTGAGAATCCGTCAGCTTGGCCCCTGGTTCGATTCCCTCCATTCATATAGTTCCCAAAGGCCAGAACCAGACCCAGAATCCGCTTCACCGTCTCACTGTCCTGCAGTGCCTACACACACACACACACACACACACACACACACACACACACACACACACACACAAATACACACACACACACACACAGACACACAAATACACACACACACACACACAGACAGTGGGAGGTACATGAGGAAAATGCACGAGGAAACAGAAACACAAGGTTTGATCTGGAGGAGAGTCAGAGGTTTGAGTCGGTTCAGAGAGATGAGAACACATGAAGTAAGAGAATAAATACATATAAAGAATACATTATATGTACATAAACATGTATACATTAATATATTGAACAAAGTCTGAATATACTGTATGGAATGAAACTTTGAATATATGGAAAGAAACTTTGAATATATGGAATGAGACTTTGAATATAGGAATATATACTTTGACTATATGTATATATACATACAGTATGTGTACACATCAGTAAGAGGTTTTTGTATAAACACTCATTGCAACCGGAATTGAAAACATTCTACTACAGAGAGCCTGGATTCTGCTGAAGGACTTTAACACCCTTATTGGTAACCATGGAGACCCGAAGTGGGTTGATTGGTTGGATCGCCTTGCCTGGTGTTCTGTTATCTGACATCTGTACAAAAGCAGCCTGTGGACATTCGATCTTGGCAGTTCTCAGGCTCTACAAAGATCATTTCTGGGTTTCTGAACCCTGGAGTCACCCTGCATGGTCTGCACACTCTCTTTAGAGTTTGATGACTTGGACTCACACACTCTCTTTAGAGTTTAATGACTTGGACTCACGCACTCTCTTTAGCGTTTGATGACTTGGACTCACCTTGCACACTCTCTGTAACGTGTCCAGTTTTCTGGTTATAGATGACATGCACTCTGAGAAGCTGGATTGGAAGAGGATGCAGAATACTCGTCCAGAGAAGTTTGGGATCAGGGAGAGCTGGCGGAGGAATCTGCAGCACAAGAGGTAACAGAAAGGTGAGTCGGTCTCTGAACACTCTTCTTACAGAACGACACACAGCAGTCATCATCAGACACTCACTGCTCTGGTTTGTCCAGAGGTTTTTCCTTGTCTTTGGATGACTTGATGTGCTTTTCTATCTTGTCCAGTTCGTCCTGCTGGGCCCTCTGAGGAGACACACAATTCCAGTTCAAAGTCAAAGTCCACTGTAACATAGAGCCCAGGAACCATACAGGTTCCCTTAACTCTCCAACACATCTCTAATTGATATTGTTTTAATTATGCTTTCTGGTTTTCACAGTATCAAAGATAAGTGTTTGAATTGCTCACATTTTCATAGAGAGCCTGCAGCGTCTCAAGGTCCACCACTGTGTTGTCCAAGTTCAGTATGGCTTCAAGACAGAGAGGGAGAAAATTCACACGATGACTAACCAATCTACTCAGTCATGAGGGAATAGTAAATGGACTTGAGCTTGTTTATTTCTTTTCTCATCTTCTGACTACTAAAAGCTCTTTTACACCGCATGTCTCTCACACACACATTCACACGCTGATGGTAGAGGCTGCTGTATAGAGAGTCCATCAGTATTAATTCATCCATTCATACACATTCACACACTGATGGTAGAGGCTGCTGGGTAAAGAGTCCATCAGTATTAACTCATCCATTCATACACATTCATACACATTCATACGGGCTTAAGTGTCTTGCCCAAGCATACGTTGGACATGTGGCTTCAGGAGCTGGGATCAAACCCCTAGCCTTCCAGTATAGAGATGACCGACTCACCAATGAGCCACAGCCACACTTGTTGATCCTGTTTAATTGAACAGTCAGTCATAATGATCTTGTGGTCATTTGGAGAGGCTACAGTGGCTACATCCTCTCCCATATACAGTCTAGGCCTTGGAATGAAACCAGATGAAGTTAGAGATGAACTCACCGTGCTGAATGTCCTTCATGTCCAGATGTAGAGAGGACATTAGGATTCCGACAGCCTGAGAGCGCTTGTTGTTCAGGAGCTTCACTACCTGAAACACAACAATAGATATCAATATGGGAGTGCGACAAGGTTCCATCTTAGGATCACTGTTGTTTAGCGCATATGTCAATGATCTCCCATCTGTGTGTGATGATGTGGGGACCTTGATGTATGCAGATGACACGGTCTTATATGCATGTGGAAAAGACCCTGAACAAGTAGCTGCCAAACTGTCATTAGCAATGGAACAAGTCATAGAATTTTTACATTATTCATGTCTGACTCTTAATACTGACAAAACATGTGGTCATGTATTTTGTGAATAAACACAAAAATATGGTTTTCTCAAATATTAATGTAGGTTGATGAGTTTAAATACTTGGTTTTACACTAGACCACAACCTTACTTTTAAAAGTCATATTAAAAAGATGTGCCATAAAGTTAAATATTTCATAGCCAACTTTAGACATATCAGGAACTCACTTACAATCGAAGCGTCTAAAATGTATTTGAATGCTATGATTTTTTTTTTACTTTCATTACTGTATATCCTGTTGGTCTCAAGCAAACAAGACTGTCTTAAAACCCATAATGTCACTTCATAAACAAGCCATTAAAACTCTGGACAGGAAACCACAACAGTATCATCATTGTGATATACTTGATAAATATAAAATTCTAAGTTTGACAATTAATTCAAATTAAATCTTATGTCCGCTTAGTGTATAAAATAATCCAGGATGCTGCTCCCCCACATTGAAAAGCTTTGTGAAACTTCGCTCTGAGCAGACAAGCAGATCTTCAAGGTCTGCCTCAAATGGAGATTGCAATATTCCTAAACGTGGCTCAGCGTTAGCACAATCTGTTTTTTTCTTTAAAAGCAATTAAAGAATGGAATAATCCTCCAGCTAGTCTTAAATTTGCACAAACTTCTGCACTTTCACCCGTGAAGTCAAAAAATGGATTTTAAGTTACCAGTCTTGTCAGCACTGATGTGACATCACGACAACCGTTTACATCTCAGGGAAACTTGTACGGAATTTTTTAATATCTGTATATTTAAACTAAACTAAACTAAACTAATATTCATGTTAAACATGATAACACTCTTTGTTGAACAATTTGATCATTAATCATCATTCAAACTCAGATATAGTTGCATATATATTTTAGCATATATAGCAAAGTTGACCCACAGACCTGTTTGGCTTTGGACTTGGTGATGGTGTCCGACAGCGGCTGCTTCTTAACTTTAACAGCTGATTTCGAAAACAAATCTGCAAACTCCTCAAAGTCCATGTCAGGCTCCTCGATGGTCTCCCATACCAATGAAGAAGAAACCTCCCTAAAAAAACAAACAGCAATCTTAGATCACAAGATACTTATTTTTATATTCAAACTACTGCTCAGCCCTGAGCCATCCGACCTCTATATTTACTTTTTGGTGTTAAGCTGGATCCGAGTCCAGTATAGTGGCTTCATCGGTCGGGGGGGCTCCACCACCGCCTTTCTGGGGGGTTTCTCCTGTGGCACACCCAGAGCGTACAACCCCATCGGGAGAGGAGGAGGCAGGAAGCCCAGAGAGCCAGGAGGAGCAAAGACCGCTCCTGGTGGAGGAGGTGGTGGTGGAGGACCACAGCCTGGAGGGGGTGGAGGAGGTGGAGGGCCTCCTGTTCCTGGTAATGGAGGAGGAGGTGGGGCTAGGCCACCAGGGAGGGGTGGAGGAGGTGGGGGTGGAGCAAGGCCTCCAGGAAGGGGTGGAGGAGGAGGAGGAGGAGGAGGAGGTGGGGGTGGAGCAAGGCCTCCAGGAAGGGGTGGAGGAGGAGGAGGAGGAGGTGGGGGTGGAGCAAGGCCTCCAGGAAGGGGTGGGGGAGGAGGAGGTGGGGGTGGAGGACCTGCTGTACCTACAGGTATTGTAGGAGGAGGAGGAGGTGGGATTGAGTCTCCTGGTAAAGGAGGAGGGGGAGGGACCAGAGTAGGCTGCATCTGACATGAACACCTGAAGCCCTCTAGTGGAGGCGGAGGTGGGGGTGGCTCAGAGCTGCTGACTCCGCCCCCCTTAGTAAAAGGCACTTTGAAGCATTCGTCCAGAGGGGAGGTCTGCACTGATTTGGCCTCCAGGAGGTCTGGGGTGGAGGTCTGCAGGTGAGCGTCACACAGTGCCCTCATCAGTCCCTCCTCCCCCCCAACCTCCCTGTCAGTGGTGGAGGGTGGTACTGTCATTGTGTCTCTGTCCAGCAGGGGGGGCTGTCGCTCTAGCTCAGCGATCTTAGTCCTGAGATCTTCGATGGTTTGTTCAAGCTGCTGGATGACATTCACATGTTTCTCCTTCAGTTTGGACGACGACACCAAACTCTCCTTCTGGAAATAGGAGATAAAAGTCATTTTCACACTTGCAATTCTGAAAAATTTCTAAGAGACTAAGAATGAATGATGCAGAGTAGCAGATGGAGCAAAAAGGGTCCGGCGCAAAGATGACAGTTTTAGACTTTATATCAACGCTATGTGTGGTTTGATACTGTTACAATATCAAAAAGAGAGTCGAGAAGAACATATTGCAAAACAAACGACACAATGCAGCAGTCTAATTATGTGCACAGCGATTGTTTCGGTGGCATGACCAGAGAAGGTAGGCGGTTTTTAAGAAAACCCCACACAGCCATTTTGGACGCCCCTCAGTTTGTCAGATATGAGATCCGTTATCAGGTCAAACCAACAGGTGTTGCAGCGATGGAAGCGGGCAAGAGAACTGGTTCAGATTGAAGTGATTGTACCCGAACTTAAAAGCCTCTGCATGTTTCTAATAAGCTCCACGAGCAGAAACGTGCTCAAACTAAGACCAATATTGGAGATGCTTTTGAAAAATGGAGAGAGGTTAGAACGCAGAAAGGTTTACAGACCGATGCAGAGCTGGCTAAACACTGAAGCTTCAGTGTCCACCACATGACAACCTGCGTGAGCATCGACTCTGGAGAGGAGGGGGCAGGGGGGAGACAGCTCTCTACAATGCTTTGACTGCAGTACCCATTTTGAACACTATAGGAAGAGTCAGAGTTTTATATTGCCTCTTAAGCCTCATGTTCAAACAGTGGATACCTCCAGGGTTGAAAAAAATTGAGCAAAAAAGCATGTGCAAAAAACCTGCAGCTCCTCGAGTAACCACTCGAGGCAAAACCAAAAAGTTAAACAGATGAAGTTAAAGTTTAACAGGTGAAGATAAAGTGACCCACCTCCTGACTCTCCTGCTGCTGCTTCAAATCCAACATGGCCGCCGTGTGTTCTGAGCAGACAGACACATGAACAGTCAGTATGAACAGGACTCATGTCTCCTGGAGGAAACTTTCAACAATGTGAAGTTATAACTGATGGGACTGATGGGAATATACTCCACAGGTATCAGATCCTGAGCAACTGATGGATGGTTGACAACCTGCATCTCTCTGAATATCTGTTGATCTCATCATCTAGATAGAGCCGTAGTTTCAAACTCCTGTCACAACTGAATTTTTCAGGTTTGACACCAACTAGGCAACGTGTCTGCCATTACTGACTGAGACCTGGAAAACCTGGAACATGCTGGAACACCTGGAACATGCAGGAAAACCTGGAACATGCTGGAAAACCTGCAACATGCTGGAAAACCTGCAACATGCTGGATGATTCTGTTTGTCTATTCAACCTCTATGTTTTGAGTGAGCACGGTCAGAGCTCTGCTTTGATTCACACACATCCCTCAGTGGGATTATTTCCACACTTTGAACTCATCATAGACACAATGTAGATAAATGAGAACCAGCCAAGTAAAATGTTTACCACCAGAGGGCAGCAAAAACCAGATCATCATTTCACAGTGATACCGTACCAGCAGTGTTTGATCTGAGGTACACACTGTTTTAGATAATAATGTGATTACACACTTTACATGTGTACTGCAACCAACAAAGTGTCCCTGGAAAAACATCAGGACGACAAGACAGCAGCACAACAACATAAAACAACTACACATCGACAACAACAAAACAACAACACAAAACAACAACAACAACAACAACAACAACAAACACAACAACAACAGCAGTGTCAATTAAACAGAATAAAAACTCACCCAGACCGTCCTCTGCTGCAGCGTGAAGGACACACAGGTTATAAAAGTTCAATACTGATATGTAAAAAAAAAAAACACCTGGATGAACTCACTTTGTGTGTGTGTGTGTGTGTGTGTGTGTGTGTGTGTGTGTCACCTGTCTCTGTAGACTTCAGTCTGGTCCTGGTCTCTCCTGGTCCTGGTCTCACTGTAATCAGGTGATCCAGAATCTGAGTAGGCTGATTGACAGCGGCCCAGGTGTACAGCTGCTCATGCTGAGAGACAAACACAATTTAATAAGATGCTCGTTATAAGTAACAGATTATGAATAATTTGATGCAACTGATACATTTTTGTTTGTGAAAAAAGTGATCATTATGACAATTTGACAAATAAAAACTCTGATCTGTGAAAACATGTCAGTACTCACATCAAACCTGGTTGGTGCCGTGGAGCTGATGTGGGCGGGGCTTCCTCCCAGCTGCTCTCTAAAGCAATCAGTGAACGGCAACAATAGACCCATCGCCAAAATCCTTGAACACAGTCGCTCCGCCTCCTCAGGCTCCGCCTCCTGCTGCTGCTGCAGGAACAACTTCTCCAGCAGGGTGCGCCCTAACAAGAGAACCACACAGAGTCAACCTCTCCAGCAGGGTGCGCCCTAACATGAGAGCCACACAGAGTCAACCCCTCCAGCAGGGTGCGCCCTAACAAGAGAACCACACAGAGTCAACCCCTCCAGCAGGGTGCGCCCTAACAAGAGAACCACACAGAGTCAACCCTCCAGCAGGGTGCGCCCTAACAAGAGAACCACACAGAGTCAACCCCTCCAGCAGGGTGCGCCCTAACAAGAGAGCCACACAGAGTCAACCCCTCCAGCAGGGTGCGCCCTAACAAGAGAGCCACACAGAGTCAACCCCTCCAGCAGGGTGCGCCCTAACAAGAGAGCCACACAGAGTCAACCCCTCCAGCAGGGTGCGCCCTAACAAGAGAGCCACACAGAGTCAACCCCTCCAGCAGGGTGCGCCCTAACAAGAGAACCACACAGAGTCAACCCCTCCAGCAGGGTGCGCTCTAACAAGAGAACCACACAGAGTCAACCCCTCCAGCAGGGTGCGCCCTAACAAGAGAGCCACACAGAGTCAACCCCTCCAGCAGGGTGCGCCCTAACAAGAGAACCACACAGAGTCAACCCCTCCAGCAGGGTGCGCTCTATGGCGCTCTACTCCATGGTGACTCCATACATCGATCCTCTTTAGTTTGCAGATCAACCTAACATTGATGTGGATGATGCCCTCATCTACATACTACAGAGAGCCCATGCACATCTGGAAACCTCTGACGGAAATGTAAGGATAATTTTTTCGACTCTTCGAGTGCCTTTAATACAATACAGCCAAGGATTCTTGGTGAATAATGAGGAGGATGCAGTTGGGGTCAGAAATCGTCAGTATGTGCGTCTTCAAAACTGTGTGTCTGGAAGAGTCCTCTGTAGTACAGGGGCCCCACAAGGCACCGGGTTGTCTCCATTCCTGTTTGCTCTATACACGTCCGACTTCCACACAGCTCGGACAGCTGCTTTCTCCAGAAGTACTCGGATCACTCAGCAGTTGTGGGATGTGTAAAGAGAGGTCATGAAGAGGAGTACAGGGGCACGACCAGGGATTTTGTGGACTGGTGTGACCATAACAATCTCCAGCTTAACATCACAAAGAACAAGGAGATGGTTGTGGATTTTGGACGGAAGAAGCCAATTCCATCACTAGTTAATATCCAAGGTACTGAAGTGGAACTCGTCTCCAGCTACAGATACCTGGGAGTACAGCAGGACAGTGAACTGGACTGGTCCGCCCACTTGGAGGCGCTGTACAAGAAGGGGCAAAGCCGGCTTTATTTTTTGAGACTGCTGAGGTCTTTTAACATCAGAAGGCCTCTTCTGTGCACCTTTTATCAGACTGTTGTTGCTAGTGCCTTGTTCTTTGGTGTGCTGGGGAGAGGGAGCTTGCACAGCAGACAAAAACAAAACGAACAAGCTGATTAGGAAGGACAGCTCTATCACTGGGACTGAAATGGAAACCCTTCAGCAGGTCACAGAGGCAAGAGTGCTCTCAAAACTCAAGAGCATTCAGAGAAACCCTGCACACCCACTACACACCCTGGACGTCATTCCACAGAGCAGGTTCAGTCACAGTCTGATCACCACAAGGTGCAGAACTGAACGCTACAGAAAGTCATTTCTCTTAACTGCCATCAGACTGTTTAATGGAAAATAACGCACCATTAATACATGTACTCATATTTACTACGCATTCATATCTATACATATTTAATACACTTTAACTTTAATTATTGTACATTTCTAGGATGTCTTTTATTTATAATCCATCGATCCATCTATCCATCCATCTATCTATCTATCTATCTATCTATCTATCTATCTATCTGTCATGTTGTCAACTGGGATTGGATCAGTTGAATAGATTCTGTTCTGCTGTCTCACCTGTAAAGACGTCCTGGAAGGAGGAGCACACCTGTCCACAGGAGGACCTCCTGGTGGAGCACAGCGGTTGACTGCCTCCACCTCCTCCTCTAAAGGTCAGCAGGTATTCTCTTGATCCTCCTCCTTCCTCCTCTCTGCTCCTCATCTCTCCTCTCCAGCTCCTCCGTCCAATTCAGCTGAACGACTGAGAGAGCTGGCCAGGCTGCGAGAGCGCCTCCTGCTGGTGGTCTGAGCCCTCACAACCTGAGGAGAGACAAACCTGAGGTTAGACTAATGTGAGGGTTGATCAGACAGACAGACTGAGGGGTAATGTTGGAGGGGTAAGAGCTAATGTTGCTAAGCTAACTGCAGCTGATAACAGGTGACAGAAATGTTGAGAGTGTTTGATGATGTTTGATCTGCCTTTTAATATTTTATTATTATTATTGTTACAGATTTTTATTATTATAATAGATAATTTTGATTGATTATTATGATGATGATATCTTCGATCTGATCCTCTGGGGGGCTCTGAGCGTCTTTAAGAGTCATCATCACTTCCTGTTTTCACTCTGATTCAGAGTTACCTGCTCGCACTCCCAGGTGTTTCATTAAAAGATGATGACCGATAGGTTTCTTTCCTACAAATGAGGAAAATCTCTCAAACCTGATTGGTCCAAACTGAACCTTTATGAACGCAATAACGTAATTAAGTCTGCATCATCATGTTAACGTACCTGCTCAGGTGATGGTGAATCCTGCGGGGAGAGATTGGGCTGTGGGAGGGGGAGAGGGCAGGGGACACCCCAGGGGAGCTGAGCTGGCGGGTGGTGGTCTTAATGTAGGAGGGGAAGATGGGGGGGTAAGGTTTGACCCCCTGGCAAGAGGAGGAGGAAGAGGGAGCATGGGAGGACCTGAGGAGGCTTTTGGCCAAGGGGGGGCTTCCCTGGGGGAGGAGGAAGCCTCTCCTACTCTGAGAGAGTGGGGCGGGGTCAGATAAAGGACTCAGGTAGTCCTCCAGAGACTCTGCACTGGTACCCGAGTCAAGCAGATCCCCCCCTTCCTCACAGACCTCAGCCCCATCACCCCCATCACCTCCACACACTCAAAGCTCCACCAACGCTCTGACCTTTTGGGGGGGCTCAGATCCACATCCGGCCCGCTCAGATCCACATCCGGTTGCCCCTGATCCT